CTGTATTGTTGCAAGTTGAAAACTTCCTCTGCCCAATACGTTTTTATTGTGGTCTGAATTAGGGAGCCAGTTCCAATAGTGGACGTTGAGCCAGCTAGGGAAACAGTTCTATCTAGAAAAGAAACAGCTTCAGTTGTTCAGACAGCCTTCTGAGCTGCAGAGCAGGATTGCTAAACAAAAAGGAACACAGGCCTCCCAGTGCTATTGACTTAATCTGTTGTAATTTTGATTCCCTGCCTTCCAGTTGAAAAAGTAGGGTACCAAATAGAATTTTACCGTGTGAATTCCTACATTGGAAGATGAATTTGGGTCCAATTCTAAAACTGATTGGGCAAACAAGTGAACATGAAGTCTTATGGAGAATGCCTTATCTGAAAAATTTCAATTTAAGCTAAATAGAGATACTTCATAGCTTCTGGGCAGGTTGAATAAACTGTTTCTGATATAGCCTGGGGAACAGCTGTAGAAGGTATGCTTCTTATATTCCCATTGGCAATCTTCAGAAGAGAGCCACTGGTACACAGATAATTGGAATGTGTATTTCCTTGATTTGGATTATAATAAAGATCTAGAAATAATTTCAAGATCTGAATCCCCCTCCCTCCTCCTCCCAAAACTGAGCCAAATCAGCAATCAATGTGTGGAGGTGCTTGTTACAGAGTATCTTCATCACTTGGAAGAAAAGAAAAAGGTGTAGAAAATATATGAAAATACTGTAAAATCTGCAAGGTATGTCATTGTGGAGTTGAATTTTTCCACACTTTATCAAATAGTATACAATGTTAACTGTTTTAAATAGACCGGAGAGCATATAGTGCACATGCAGCTCAGATATAACCACGTAGACTGGGGAACAAGGTGCTATAACATGGGTGCTTGCACTGCCAGAGTGAAAGAACTGTGCATCCAAGTGCAGCAGCAGCATCTTTAAACGTGGTTTCACTGACATCTAGTGACAGAAAGTGTTTCTGCATGTCATGTTCAAGCCTGTATTCAGACTGCAAGAAGGGTGGCCATTTTTCACACAAGTAGGCATTAAGTGAGAAATTAAGTTTGATGGTGTTTTGTCAGGATCCGCTAAAGATTCATATACAGAAAGAAGGTGATTAAGAGTCACCTGTGATAGTTCTGGTGAATGCAGTGTATGTTCAAGTGTTGGAAGATCCATGATTTGCTTAACCCTGATTGTTCTTGCTTATTCAGGCTAATATGGCATACAACAATCACATAATTTCATTCCTTTTCCATTTCTATATCCTTCATATTAAGTGAAATGTTAAAGGGATTGTATTTTATGTAGGTCATTCCAAAAGGAATGTTTCTATATGCCACTGCACATTGGGTGTGGTATGACTAAGTCTGGAAATGTACTTCATGGTCATTGAACTGGTACGAGGTCTGGCATTATCATACCTACAAAAGAAAGGTGTCTTTTTCCCTGGCCTGACAATGGAAGCTTGAATTTTCAACTCATTCAGTGCTGCAGTGTAGCAGTCTTGAGTTGATAGTTTTTCTGTGTACTACGAAAAGCAGATGGATTACACCTCTTGTATTGCAAAAGACAGTGCACATCATACTCGCTAAGAGCTGTGTCTTGAACTTTTTCTTCACTAAGGAATTCACATGTCACTACTCTGTGAACTGCTGTTTTAACTCTGGCTTGTAGTGATGACTCCACATCTGGTCACCAGTGATTATGTGATCCAGGGATCTGTCACCTTCAGCCTCTTATTGTTTCAATACATCCAGGAAAACTCGCAGGTAGTGTTCTTTTTTTCATGTGTGAGCATTCATGGGACCCACTCAGTACAGACTTTCTGATATTCCAATGTTGTTGCCATCATTTCCAGTGCATTGAAGCCAATATTCAGCCCCATTTCCCTGGTTTTAATCTGCTGATTCATGTGGGTGATCTGATCAAGATACTGTTCATTTAATGATGTAACAGCTGTGCATGGCTTCTCTTTAATGTTGCTGTTGCCTCTGCTGAAATGCACCACCCACCGCCTCACTGGTCAGATCCAGTGTTTGATCTCCAGAAATATTCAGCAAGTGTTGATGAATATCAATGGTGCATTTTTTTTTGGCACAGAAGAATTCAGTAACACACTTTTGCTTCATATGCATTTCCATGTCAGACGTCATTCTGTGGACTGCCCCACTGCTGACATTTGTTATACAGCAACAAAATCTAACAGTATTGGTGGGAATGTTCAACCTTTGTTACCATTTCACCAACGTGTGCATGTGACATTGTGGGCCAACAAACTAAAATAGGTTTCATTACTTTTGTTACAGCCCTTGTGTAACTTCTTCCTCACATAAGAAACCATTCTGATGTAAAATAGAAAGGTTAGGAAATGAGTTTTGTTACAGTACTAATGGAATTCTTTACCAAACTCAAAAGGACATGGATCTCCAAGGAGAAGATAAGACTAAAGTTCTTTTTACAGTAGAAGTCTTAATAAGTCTCTTTAAAGAATTACTTATGTTTGAAAAGCCACTGAAAAGTCTGAAAGACTCCTTTTTGGAAAGAACATGAGGACTTGTTTAAAGCAAGATTCTGGTGCCTGTGTGTTAGCTAAATGGTAAATTTCCTTAATCAGGACTTAAGGGCACAAGGGCATATAGTCTGTACATAAGTGTGTAAACTACACGTGTGAATAAAGCATCTGATCTGTAAGCAGGAAAAAGGTTAATTGAGAATACAATGTAGGCTGTATTAATTAAGCCTGGTTACTGTGTTAAGGTATGAGTAGTTTAGTCTGGATTAATATAAACAATTGCCATGTTTGAAATGTTAAAATTATGCAGAAAAAAATAACGTGCATGTTTTTCAACTAAAGGACTGTACCGAATTACCCATTATCTATAATTATCTATACGCTGCTACAGATCCTCCCTATATTTATTCACTTTTGCATTTCTCAATATGCCACAAGTGTTGCGTAAAACCATTAAGATGAGGGATGTACTCTGGCAAAGATAGCTGAGGAGAAGGGAACAAGAATTCATTCTACTATGAACACTTGGTAATGTAGTTACCCCTGTGTTGTTTTGCAAAGATTATATGCTAGTGAGACTCTGTATGTGAAGTGCCTCTCAGTCCACCTCCATCCGCTCTTTCTTTGCTTATGCTTTCTGAAATCTAGACATTTTTAAGTGGTTTTTGATGGTGTGATTGTTTTAGCTGTCCACTGTGCCTTTTCTTTGAACTGTCCAGTAGTGCCTGCAGGGAATTTGATCTTCAAGCTCCTTCATTAACACATAGATAAGTTATTTCCATTTTTTATACGTAGTGACTTTGGAAATAAGGTTTAGTGATCTCACTGACAAATCTAGTGTTTGTTGTCTCTTTATTTCATACAGTAACTTCCCTTTCCCCAAAAATTTGTATTAGAAACACTCAAAACTTGTCTACCTTTCATAATTTTATGTGAAACGTTTAACTGCAAAAAATAGCATGGCTTCTAACATCTACATTACAAAATTGTGTTTCAGCCTTTGCATACAACTACTGCTTTGGCAGACTGAGATGTTTCCCAGGGAACTCTCATAAAGCTTTGAATGTTTCACACTTTCTGTCCTGCTGCATTGTAGAATAAAGAGAGGTAATAACAGGTTTGGTTATGGGGCTTACTGCATGCTTATACTTCTAAGTGCTCAGCCAGTGTTTTCATACTTTAACATTAAGGCTATCATCTTGTTTACTAGACAGTTTTTTGGGCTTTGCTCATACTGTTGCTGAATACCACATGCCCATCTGGAGGTTTTTCTGTTGCTATTTCAGAAGACTTCTTGCAAACACTGCAATTAAACAAGGTTGTAAAAAGGAAAGCTGGATTTTATTAAAGTGCATTTTGTCTTTGGTTCTGTTTTCTGTGACATTGGTTTTCACTGCTGCTCTCCATGCTCATGGTGGTGGAGATCTAGTAATCAGCCTTTCCATAATCTTTATCAGGAAGGCTTATTCTTGCTGCAGATGTGACAGTGAACATTCAACTATTGGTACAATGTTCTGTTTTAGTGAAAATGCTGCGTACTGCTGAGAATCACTGAATTGTATTGGTGGGAAGAAGCCTCTGGATGTTGTTGGAACAACAGTGCTCAAATAAGGACCAACTGGCGGCAGAATACATTCAACTATCTTAAACAAAGCTCAGCCCCAGCTTTTTAAAAATGTGGCTACTTGCTATCATACTGTTGGAGCAGCCTTATGAAGACCAGCAAGAGCAGAGCTGCTGAATGAGGTTGGGTTAGCCAGGAACTGAGGTGACCACAGCACAACCTTATGGCACCTGAGCAGAAGAGTGAGGTAGTGATAACAGCAGTATGTGTCAACAGTCCAGTGATCACTAGGTGACAGTCAGATAATTAGCCATGTTCAAGGCTAATCTGGGAAATTTAAACTGTGCAAGGTAAGGGTTGGGAAGAGGTACTCATATGGTCAGGACAGGGGCCAGGGGCTTGGTGAGGGAGAGCTGTGGTGGTCCTCCTGAAGTTTGGGCAGGCTGAGGGAGGTGCTGGAAGGGGAGCTAGGAGGGAGGGGAGGAGGGCTGATGCTCTCATAAACTCTTGGTAAGTATGAATGTGGTGCGTTCGGACAATAATAAGCATCAGTGCTTGTAATTCCTTAATGTGGTTGCTTTTTAGGGGTGGGAGTAGGAGGGAGAGGGAGAAGTTACTTTGACATAATGCTTAAGGGCTCTCTGATGCTTCTCGTTTTAATGCGGCTTGCTTGGGTATCAGTATTTTGGCGGTTATTTTGTGTGCTGTAAAGATCATTCCCTTCTCTCCCCTGTGCTGACAGCTCCTTCACCGGCAGAGCTGTCACCGGCACTCCGCGGCCTCCTACCACCCTCAGCCCAGCACCGGGACGAGGCACCGCCCGGGGGTAGGCGGCGCCGCTGCAGGCCGCTCTCCCTCTCGCTCCGGTCCGCCCCCCCCGGCCTAGGCCGCGGGACCTGCGCGCGGCAGCCGCGGCGACGAGCGGGGTCCTGCGGCCGCTGCGGGATGGCGCCGCCGCCGCTGCTGCGCGCCGTCATCATGGGCCCGCCGGGCTCCGGCAAGGGCACGATCTCGGCGCGGATCATCAAGCACTTCGGCATGAAGCACCTCTCTAGCGGAGATATGCTGAGGGACAACATGCAGAAGAAGACAGGTGAGCGGCGGGGGGTGGCTCCGCCGCCAGCCCCGGGCCCTCCCAGAGCACGCGGGAAACGGAAAGCTCTGCACCGGTCTCCTTGCCGCTTACGTTTCCTGGAGCTCCACACGAGGCCTGTCCCAGGGGCTGTGAGGCCGCGGAGTTCCTCGTAGTTCCTCCGTCGGAAGTGTTTGTCCCGAAATGGGCAGACGTGTGTGCAGTGGGGGTGTTCCGAAAAGGAGTGGCAAAGTTTTCAAGCTGTTTGCCTTAATCTGATTTACCGTGTTGTCCTGTCTTGATCTCTGGCTCTCTTCCAGTGCAACTCTTCTATTTTTTTTTTTTTTTTTTAATTTTTTTACTGATGACAGGTCACCCTCTGGCTTGCAGATCTGCTTTTATTCATGGTGGGGCTGAAAATCTTGCAGGAACCACTTGTGGCTGCTTGTGGTAAAGTGAGGGTGTTGGTGCCAGCACCTGGAAGAACTTGTGAAGGACCACCTACCTTTGCAGCAGCAAAGCAGTAGCATGGTTACGTAACTGTTGGTATTGTTTTTGAAAATTTGTGAACATCCTTGAAAATGAAAAAATGATCTGTTATTATGAAATCAGCTGGTTTTGATTTCCACATATCTTCACACAAACCATGTTCGCTTTGTAAGAGTAATGGCCTTAGCTCAGTTGACTGACCTCACTGCATTTGGTATCTCCGAGTTAAACATTTGCTAGGAGCACCACCTCTGCATGCATATCTGAACACATCCAGACTTTTGTGTGATTGTAGAGTCAGAATAAGTTCTCTCAGAAACTCACAAAACAAAAATTGTTACTGCTATGAACCTTCAGGTTAAGTAAGATCCAGTAAGAATGGAAGACTTCCCAAAAGAGAAAGAAAACACACTGTTTATGAAATAGATTAGTTTTGTGCCCATTGAAAGTGTTGCACCTTGGAAGCAAAATCAAAGAATGTAAACAGAGTCAAGGTAAGGAGTGTATGAGAAGAATAAATACCCACTGATTGATTTGACAAGGGAGTTTTGGAGCAATGGAAAGAAAAGTGATTCAGCAAAAATGATCTCAGAAGTGTGGACAGACTAAAGGATCTGAAGGAGAGTGGAAACGTGCAAATTTGTTGTGAGAGATCAGTGAACGATGTAGCAGGTCTTGAAATTCACTCAGAGTTAGCTAACAGAACTTAAAGGAATTGACTATGGAGTTTTCCATTCATGACTTATTGCACATGAAGCTCTGTTTTAATTTTATTAAAAGTAAGCCACTATTTGCAGAAACAGTCTCCGAATGTCTGAGGTGAATATTGAGGTAGTGAGAGTGGGTAGGATGCTGAAAGGGCTAAGCTGGAATGAGAGGCACTTCAAAGAGCCTGGACGAATGTAGCTGAGGGAAGGAGGAAAAGAGCTTTGGTAATAATGGAGTCTTGCAGTGCTTAGTTCTTTAGGAACTGTAAAGCTAAATTGGATAGTTAAAAATTTGGAAAATTAAATATAATTACCAGTTGCTGTATGGAGCTATTTTTAGCACTTGCTGTCTTTTGAAAGCAGTCTTTGTTGAAAAGTCCTTTTGAGCATGAGTGTCCTTAGCAGTTTGCAGTTATTGCCATGTTCTGCTATGTCAGAGAGTGGAGAGTTGGTGACAGTCTCTACAGTGCTTAGCAGCCTGCAGTCTGAATGTGGCTGAAGCTTGTTTGCTGTATGCAGTTAGGACAAGCCAATTTTCTGAAAAACTTTTAGCAGAAATACCATTTTTTTTGTCTTGACAGGAAGTACCACATGTGGTACAAAGGGGTGTGGTTTAGTGGGGAAATATTGGTGGTAGGGATTGGACAGGATGATCTTGGAGGTATTTTCCAACCTTGTTGATTCTATGATTCCATGATTATTTTTTCCTCCTGCAATAGTTGGCTCTAGAAGATGAGGGGCTTGCAGTTACAGGCTGTGTTTCCTCTTCCACAGTTCAAATAATAAGACGTGTCTGCCTTATAACTTGCCATATGCTTCACCTGTCTGCGCCCAACAGCTCACCTGTCTTTACAAAGAATGTTGGTATTACCATTTTCCACCAGGTTTGCATTGCATGTACTCTTAGATCATTGTGGCTTGAGCAATATGGTGGCATGAATCTAACAGATTTGAGCATCAAGTGCATATTCAATTGTACACTGTACAGCTTTCAATACTGCATCAGGCGATGGGGCTGGCATATTTTACTGCTTCCTGCTGGAAGTGGTCTTACTGTGTATCAGTAATGTCAGTCCATCCCATCCTCTTGTTTAGCTTACTAGATCTGAATTGTCCATTAATAAACACGTAAGCAAATCCACGATAAAACAAAACAACTTAGGTGCTATTTGAGGTGACTTATTAAATTAGCTATTTGCTTTATAAACTAAGGCCACAAAGACTTTGTGCTCAGAGTAGAGCTCAGGCAAATGGATTTCTTCCTGGCTGTTCCCATGACTTAGATGACCCGCAGCATGACAATGCATGTGATATCAGAGTGTGATATCTGGATCTGTGATGTGTAAAGGGCATCTTAGCAAGCTGGTGGGCTAAGCAACTGGTATTAAAGGGTAGTCAGCGTCACGGGAAAGTACTAGTGGATGTGCACTCCTATAAATAGTTTACAACATCTATAAACATCTTGTAACTCTGGTAATCATAAAAACTTGTTCTGGCATGTGTGCCTCATTGTGTGCTACTCTCTTAAATACTTGTGGAGTTTCCATTTATAGAGAAGTCATAGAATAATAACTAGACATTAAACTGAGAAAATAAATTCCTCAGCAGGAAATCTGAGGGCTGGCGTCATTACGGAGCTTGGATGTTTAATGTTTCTTTATTCTTGTTTTGAGGACTCGTCCTGGTTTTTGGAACTTATCTTTCAAATACTCAGCAGTAAAATTATTTTTGGGCTGTGGGGTTAGAAGTAAACTGAAAGCCTCTGTTGCTATTTGTGGAGCCACAGTCCAAACAAATTCATCTGATACATTTGCAAAATCAGATCCCAGTGTCTGGTTAATAACTTTACTGATCTGTGCTGTCCTGATCAAAGCCAAGTGTTTACAGGGTTGTTGGCATTTTTTTAGTTGCTGGAGGTCACAGGTACTGGGACATGACTACTCTTACTTTCACAGAAGTTGGAATCCTTGCCAAGTCCTACATTGATCAAGGAAGGCTTATTCCAGATGACATCATGACACGGCTGATGCTGAATGAGCTAAAAGGTCTAGATCGATACAACTGGCTGCTGGATGGTAAGTTACCATATCGGATATTACTATGTAAGGAGAGGAAATATGCACTAGAAAGCGTGGTTTGTTTGATTCACTAGTGGATACCTAACCTTTGGCACCACCCTCGAGGCTCGGTATTTTACAGTGTATGTTGCCAGCTTCTGCTGAAACATTTGGCAGCTCCAGTTTCTTCAGCTGCAAAGTGCACAGGATGCATGCTGCTTTCAGAGTGTTAAAGGGACATTAATTTATGTTGAAAAGGCCCTTTTACTGAAAAATAACATTTCAAAACTGGTAATTCTATTAATTCTTATTTCCCCTCCAATAACAGAGGCTTCTTTTAAAATATGGATTGAAAAGTGTTTTTTTAAACAGTCCTTGGAGTGTGGAACACTTGAAGCAAGGGTTGAAGTAGTTATGTAAATAGAAAAGTAGGCAAGCATGTGAAACAGCAGTAAGTGCCATGTGTAATAAATCACTAACAAAACCAGTGCTCAGGAATAAATCATGGTTCTTAAAGACCTCCTTTAGACCAAATTGCATGTGGATTCTTCAGTGTAAGCTTATAGCTTCAGCATTCACACTTGGGAGAAAATACATTTTTTCCACAGTATCATGGACTGATGGGTTCTTGCTACCCCAGCCCCTGGGAGTACAGTTGGTTGTGCATCACAAAGATAGGGTCTAGTGTGGATGTATGTGTTTTCACATTCTGACCACAACTTGTCTCAGTAGATAAAACTGGAAAGTTTCTGATGTGGCCTTTTGTTTAGAGGGAGTGAAACATCCATACTGCTCGGTGTTAGTAATAAACAGAAGACCAGGGAAAATGTGTACTCTCTCTGGAAGGAAACAGAAGACCTAATTACCTATGATATAAAGGCTGAGATACTCAGTTCTTTTGCTTTAGTCTTCAATGGCAAGTGCTCCAGCTACACTCCCTAATTCACAGAAGGTAAAAGCAAGGTCAGGGAGAAGAACAGTGGATATACTGTAGAAGACAGGTTTTTAGACCATCTAAGGAATCTGAGGGTGCATCGGTTCATGGGACCCGATGATATGTATTCAATGGTCTTGAGGGAACTGGTGAATGAAGCTGCTAATCCACAGAGCATCATATCTGAGAAGTCATGGCAGTCTGGTTAAGTTCCCCCTGACTGGAAAAAGGGAAACTCCATCCTGTAGTGCTTTATTATACTTCTTCAGTGCCATGAACCTTCGATTTTTATCTCAAAGGCGCTGTGAAGAGCTCCTCAACAACACATGCAGCATGCAAACTAAGCAGGAGGAGTTGGAAACCGTGGTGCAGTTAGAAAACTATGATGTAATTGCTGGCATGGAAATGTGATGGGATGAATCGCACAACTTGAACACTATAATTGAGGGCTACATGCTTTTCAGAAAAAAACACGCAGGGAATAGTGGGGGAATTGCCCTTTATGTTATGAAATTGAGATTGTGCAGAGCTATTTCTGAGAAACAGCCATGATCAGGTTGAGAGCTTGTGGGTTAAAATTAGGGATTAGACCAATAAAGGGCATCTTGTGCCTATGGGTTTATAATAGGCTACCTGATCAAAGGGAGCCTGTTGATGAGGCCTTCTTGCTTCAACTACAAGAAGCATTGTGGTTGCAGGCTCTTATCCTCATGGGGTATTTGAATCACTGGAATGCCTGCTAGGAAAGCAACATGGAGGCCTGCAAGCAATCCAGAAGGCTCCTGTAGCCTGCTGGAAACAAATTTCTGGTTCAGACATTAGGCTGTCTGACCAACCAGGGGAGAAGTGCTAATAGATCCACCAGTGGAAATGACATCATTAAAGAGGTTAAGACTGGAGGCAGCCTGGTATGTAGTCACTGGGCCTGGGTTGAGCTCATGATCTCGAGGAATATGGGCCTAGCAAGAAGCAAGGTCAGGATCCTGAACTTGAGAAGAGTGAACTTCCATCTGTTTGATTAACTATGAGATTCCCTGGGAAGCTGTCGTTAAGGACAAAGGAACAGAGTAGAGCTTGCGCATATTTAAGGAGAGCACAGAATCATAGTACAAGAGATCTCCATCTCCCAGCACACCCAGTCAAATGGGAGAGGCAGGAAACTAGCATGGCTGAGTGGAGAGTTACTGGTCAAACTGAGGGATAAGAATATACATAAGAAATGTACAGGTAATGGAAGTAGGGACAGAGTCTGGAAAGAATAAAAGGATGCTGTCTGGACATGCAGAAATAGGATCAACAAAGTCAAGGCCTCAGTGTACTCACAGTCTCTGGTAGATATATTGTTTTTAATGCAAAGGGAGAAAATAAGAAAATAAGAGCAGTCCCGAGTGTTTGTAGATTGTTCTGTTCCTCTTAGAATGAGCTGCCTATGGCTTTTATTGTTCAAAATATGCATATTGTGGTGTTTTTTGTTTTTTTTTTTGTGAGTAAATTGGTGCATAGTACATATGAATATGGGGTATTTTTGCTTGTTTGTTACACTTCTGGGAAGATGCCTATATGAACTGAGGAAAAGGAAGCTGGAAGACATTCAACAATAGTGCCATGAAACTGAAAAATCTGCTGAAAAAGTTATCAGAAAAATCTGATGTCTCTTTAGCCTTTACAGCATGATAATACACATTTTCTATCTGACCAGCAGTTTCTCTACTGTTGAAATCCAGCAAATTCTCATAACTCTGAATACTTATGGAGTTATTTCCTTCATAAAGGTTTCCCTAGAACAGTTGCTCAGGCACAAGCCCTGGATAAAGAGTGTCAAATAGACACTGTGATTGACTTAGACGTACCATTTGAAACCATAAAATGTCGTCTCACTGCACGTTGGATCCACCCTAGTAGTGGCAGAGTCTACAACCTTGAATTCAGTCCCCCCAAAGTGCAGGTAAGCAATACACATATTGATACTGGTGCTAAATAAATGTTGCCCTGCATTTGGAATTGTAGTGAAATATTGATGTACATTATTGCAAAATACAGTAGTTCAGAAGAAAAAGATTTGTTTTGTCTCTTTAGAGCACAGAAACTCTCTGCTAACACACTGCCTCTTGGAGAATGCCCAGGTAGAAGCTCAAGCTCATGGGCAATTTGCTTGCCCTCTGCAGAATGAAACACCATGATGCCAGCTCCTCATACTGTTTCATAAGCTCGTATTATTCACTGATTCATGTGAGCTAGGTGTCATCTTAGCCTGCTTTGCAGTTACTAACTGTGCAGTCTGAAATGCCATTTCCCATCCTCTAGAGGACTCATTCTTTGTATCCAGGGTGCGCATTAAGTAATGTACCAGTCACAGATATCCACTTGATACTTTTCCTGATTAATTACCATTTAATCAGGGTATTTTTAGAGGGGCAGTTGTTATATTGTTATATTGCAAAATTAGATATAGGAACTTGGTAGTATGAGAAGCTTCTCAACAGAACAAAAAGCTTAAAGCTTGAGGTGTCGTAAAACAAGAACAGTAAGCTAATAATATAATGGATATACATCATTACCCTAAACTTTTTTTAAGTACTCAGTTCTGTATCATTCTTAACTCTAAATAACTTACCTGTTGCAGCATCCCATTTTATCCGGAAGTTCTATTAAGTTGCATCACAACTATAGCAGGCTTTGTATTTTTGAGGTTACAGTGTTGCAGGAAAAGAATCCAGTGAAATACCAGGTAAATGCTTAAAGTGAGCAATTGCAAACATTAAGTATAGTTTAAAACTGGAATTTAAATTATGGTTACTTTTAATTGCAGAAGAACATAGACAAGCAGCAACAGAGCATTACCAGACATAGCAGAGTGGGTTCCAGCCATAAAAGCCGTACTATGCACTCCACTCTACCTATCACGTAATTAGTGAAGGAAGCATATGACAACACATTAAAGTAGTTTGTGGAATGACACTGAACAGGTGCAATGCAGTTGTCTGTGTTGTCTGGTAGCTCTGAAAAAATTTCAGCCGCCTAATTGCTCATCTGTACAATCAATGAATGCACAGATGTTATAGTTGTTATGAGATGTACCAGTGCTTGGCTATGTAGTTATTACACCAAAGCAGAAAAGATAAGATGCTTATCCGTATCCTGGGCTCACTTACAAAACTCCAGCAGAGTGGATCTCCAGAAGAGATCCTTCCCCACTGGTAGCCAGCTCTTACATGGGTTTAGGAGAAGTGGAGCCAGGCTCCGCCCCTTCTGGCAGCACAACTGAATTGCCTTCACCTGTGCTGCCATGGCTGACCCAGTGCTCGCCTCAGGTGATCAATCAGAGGTTCAGGCCGTGATTCAGCAGTTCCCATACACTCATCAAAACTAAAAGACTGTGGCATGAGAGTTCATACAAAACTGCAGTCCTGATACTTAACAGGTGCAACTAAGGCACTATTATGGTTGCCTTCACAGATGTTAGATAGAAACCCCTGAATATTTTAAGTTATTGTATAATATAAAGAAGGTAAGTTTGACCATGTAATCTCTAATATCTCTAATATCAGACATGTTCTGGAACAAGTTTTCTTCATGCCTTCATAAACAGAGCAGCTTATTCAACACTGACATTTATCATTGGTTCTTGAAACTGCCAAAAAACAAGCAGGAAGAAGGAACATTTCTGTTGTCTAATAAACTTTGTATTTAAAAGATAACTAATATTTCCACTTCAGATGTCAGATTAAACTTGCCTTTTGGAACAAATGAAAATAATTGAGGGTTTAATTAGTATGTAAGAAGGAACAGAGAGTCCCCTATGTCTGTATGGTGTGTTACTCTGTAACTAAGTGCACAACTCACTGCAGCTAAGGAGATGCATTTAAAGCTACTAGTTAATTCTTAACAAGGTTCCTGTATCTTCCACTGTGCCAGTGACTGATGATTTCCTTGGCTGTTGCTTGTTTCAAGACTTAAAAGCACACTAACCACTTCAAGCCCTTCGCGAAACTGGTCTGAAAAGTGTACAAGAGTAGGAATTGTCACATAGTAAGCCCATGCCTCTGCTTACTGAACTGTAGAATTGTTTCTGTTGGCTTCCATGTTATATTTTGCTGTCATATTTATCTGTTGCTAAACATTAAGTCTTCTGCAGTGTGACTTAAAAAGATCGTGAATTCCATTCTCCATTTTGCTGTCATCAAACTAAGGTCAAATTAGCTTCTTGCTTGCTTGCCCTTATGCATGAACATATTACCAACCACCTTCTTCTTCCTCTTAAATCCAAAACTCAGTATCACATGAGCTTCTGTGAAGAAAATTAACTCTGTCCCAGCCAAAACCATATCAGAAGGCTCTGTCTACATGTTTCAATATTCAGCAAATGTTCCAGAGACCTAATCAGTAAAGTAATGATAACCTCATGTTCTCTGTAAATACTCTGAAAGTATTTTTATAGTAATTGAATATCTTACTTGAAAGTCAACTTCTTATATTCCAGGTAAGATAGAGATGGTAGCTTTTATCTTTATAAGCAGAAACCTACACTTGGACTACCTGAAATCTGATCATAATTTAAATGAAAAAATACACAAACAGAAATATACATTAGTGTTTGCTTTTAACCAACGCATTTGGTTTTAAACTATGATTAGGGCATTGATGACATTACTGGAGAGCCCCTTGTTCAACGAGATGATGATAAGCCAGAGACGGTTACCAAGAGGCTGCAGGCTTACGATGCACAAACAAAACCTGTTCTAGAATACTATCGGTAAGTAGTAAAATAACTATGCTTCTTTCACATTAGCACAGCAAGGAAAAAATCCCTCTAGTTATAGAGTTCTTAAAACAGTGAGTGTGGTATAAGTAGCAGTGTATCTTTCACTACCTTTTTAAGAAATATAAATAGTACAATTAGTATGATTTTGACTGTTGCATGAAACTTTCTGATGATCCAGCTTAGCACAACAGCCTTTCATTGCAGCCGCTTTTAGCTTTACACATAATGCTAGGCATTATTCAGTGAATTATATTAGTGACCTGAGTGATGTAGGTCTATTTAGTAGGGTAACAGAGACAGTGCCTTTCTTGGAAACCTTCACAGTATTTTTAATTTCTGCATGTGTAGAAGTCCTTGTAATACAACAGGGGGTCAAGAAACTGATAAATAGAAAAGTTGTTAATGAGAATTTAGAGGTGTCTGTTCTAAGAATAGGATTGTTACATACAAAGCTAACAACACACTTAGAACAACGAGCTGTTTGAGAATAATACCATTTGCACTGTGGAAGAGTAGAACTGTATGTAGTCTCTCTTTATGGTAAGCTGGTCTGCTCTGCTTTATTTAAATTGCTTTATCTATGTTAGTAATAAATAGGTTAATACTTGATCACTGTATAGAGATTTGTCGTCTTACCTCACCTACAGTAAACACACTAGACTTCTTTTAAGAACATCCTGAAATAACTGTCCCTTCCTCTATCTCTTTGTATCTACCACCCTTTATTATGCTCTAGGAAAACTACTTAATAGAAAACTAGGAGCTTTATCTTTTGGATTGGTTCAGTTTTAGAAAAATAGCTGTTTTCAATCTAGAATTTTTTTTTCCTGACTAGTAACTTTCTGAAGTTTACAAGCTTGTAAATAGGCCTAATGACACACTGCAGATAAGACTAGCTACTAGAGTTCCAAACATTCTGATTGTGCCTGGTTTGATTTTCGAGATCTGACTCTAAAATGCAGTCAGTTGGATGACTGCCATATAGGATGTGCTGTATGGCTTGACTGCTTCTTAAGTTTTACCTCTAATAAGTTTTATTAATTGTTCTGTAGACAACTACCAGCTTTTTGAACTGATGTGGCCAATAGTATACTGTCTGAAGAACACACTAATGCATGTAGACCTGCATTCCCAATGTTCTGGTTGCTCTTGGCATTAAATCACGTACACATTAGTACACTTTGGCCAGGGCAGTCTTAAAGCGAGGCAGGGATCCTGGAAGGATGAGGCAACTTGACTTTTATAATACTTTTTTCTTTTTTTCCTCAGGGAAAAAGGGCTGTTGAAATCCTTCTCTGGAACAGAAACTAATAAAATCTGGCCACATATCTATGCTTTCCTCCAAACCAAGTTGCCGGATGTGAGCCAGAAAGACACTGCCACTCCCAGGTGAAATTAGGTCTAACTTCTGCTCACTGGTCATAGCACACACACGATTACACAAGATTCAGCAATCAATAATTACTCTTAAGTAGTGTACCAGACTGATCAATAATTAAAGTCTACTGTTGTCCCTAAATTACATTATGATAAAACTATGTCTTCTCTGGTTCTCTCTTCAACACTGTATTTGTTTTTAATTTTAAAATATGCCTGATTTTCATAATATAGTAATTGACTTTAACAAAAGCAGATACTCTTGTGTCTCTGTTAATCAGAAAATAATCATGTTTGGTAATAATAGTGAAGGAGATACGTTTCAGAATATAGCATACAGAGGATTTTTGCTGATTTAATCATTCACTAACTGCAGTGTGAAGCAGTGACAAAAGGTATGGAAGGAAGTTTCTTGAATGCTTGACTTGTGGCCTCCCAGAAGCTGTGAGGGACTGTGGCTGCAGGAAGCACAGGACAGTTTGGGTTGGAAGGGATCTTCTAGCAGTCATTTAGTTCAAGCTCTCTAACACGTAAGGACATGTTTCATTTTATCATTTAAAATTCATTTTATCATTATATTCATTTTATCATTTTCAGGCTGCTGAAAGCTCTGCTCATTCTGACTTTGAACACAGCTTCCTTGGCAACTTCTTTCAGTTGCTCAGCCTTTGTGGGGGGAAAAAATAAAAATTATATACAGTGGTAGCTTAATCACATAAAATGATAACTTTCCTTAGCTTTACTGGTTTTGCTGGGCTTAAGTTACCCTTGAGACTTAGTGGATGATTTGCCCTATTGCTGTGGTTCTATTTCTGCCTTTGGCTATATTATTGGCATGAAAAATTTTGTATGACTTACAAATTCATTTGGTAAAGCCTCTGTCTTTGAGCAGCTGTGCAAAGCTTCACTAGTAAAAAGAAAGCAGACACTGAGTAGTTAGTGTAATTTTGTAAGCCTGTAGAGATACACTGGTCAAAATTGCCTATCTTTCCCTTTGTCTTTCAAAAAGCTGCTCTTCCCAAATGCCTGTGATAAGATTTCCCTTTGTCAAATTAGTTTCTTTAATGGAGCAAATTTTAATTTAGCAAGCATAGTTTTAATGACTTCATGCTGCTAATTCATGTCTCTGACCAGCTCTTTTGTTAATTTATTCACTAAGTAACTGGATTCACAAACCTCTATATACTATGCTTTTAACAGTCCAGATAATGCAGATGTTGCTATTCTTCAGTGGATTTTTTTTTTAATGTTCACCAGTCTGAGTTTCAAGAAGGGTAAGCAAAACCTGAGGATGAAACAACTCAGTCTAAGCAATGTCTGAGGTAGCCGCCTTGTCTTGCTAATGCAGGTCTGTCTCCTTTTGCATTGACTTATTAACTGCAGAGCTGTCATACCTTGGTCTGCGTATTCATGTACAGCTTTACTATTGTCAATACTGAGCAAGTCTCGAAGAAGATGGGTGCTGTAGAGTTTGTAAAACCTTCTCATTACATTTCTGCTTATTTCTACAAAAAGAAACCATGCTTGCTTTCTTGCCCTCCATATGGTTTGAGACCTTCCCCCCACAAGTCAAGAAATTTTGATTACACATAACAAAAATAACTTTCAGTGTATCACAGGTTGGTAAATAAATGTGGCTCTACTGCTAATAGTAGCAATTACAAATCACTGTGCACTATACATTGTCCTTATAACACATGTATGTAGCAAGAATTTAGTTAAGGAACAATCTGAAGCTGCTAGTTTCCCTTAATTATTAACTTAGGAGGCAGTGTTCACTTTTTCTACTCTGGAGCAACTGTCAAATTAATATGCTTTATATATAATTTCCATCTGTGACAGATCTCCTTTATCCTCAGTTTGTCAGCAAAGAAACTGGTAGGGAACAAACACTAGGTACAGGAAAAGGTACTGCCAGTTGAGCTGAAGTTCTCGTTTCTGCCACTGCAATTACACTAATAATGTAATATATACTGTAAACTTAAGACTTGCTCTATTTTCAGCCCATAGCTGCAAACAAGTCTCAGAATAGCTTTAGCCTGAATCTGTCTGAATCAACTGTAAGTATACTGGCAAAGCTACTAGGAGTCTAGATACTTTCCCAACCTTACAATTAAATCAATACTGTTAAAGTACCTGGAAACCTATAGCACTGTTTGAAATGTAAGCTATTTTCATTGGCATATTTGAACTACAGTATAGATTTTTATATGTAGAACTGCTAAAGCAGTAGTAAAGCAGGATAGGATTCTTGACTGCAGAGGTTCTGTGGGACATCTTAAAACAGGGTTTAGATTTCTAGCTCCTAAAACAAACCATTTAATAAATTTTCACTTTAACTGCTTAAGCTGACCATTTTGTTAACTCACTTTAGTACCATATGAATTACCTCTGAAACTCTGAAAGATGTTATCATGACATAGCTTTAAATATGAAGACTGCTCTGAAAGTAATGCCTACTACTTTATTATGTTGCACTTATTATGTTGGTGGAGGTATGACAATAGAAGTTGAACCTCCCCACCAGTATTCCATTACGTTTTGTTGCTGTGTGACAAACGGCAGCAGAGGGGCAGTCTGACAGAATGGCATCTGACATGGAAGTGCATATGAAGCAAAGGTGTGTCACTGAATTCCTCCACAAAAAAAAAAAAAATAAAAAAAAAAAAAAAAAAAGAAAAGAAAAAAAAAGAAAAAAAAAGAAAAAGAAAAAAGCTGCACCCACTGATATTCATCAACACTTGCTAAACATTTATGGAGCTCAAACCATGAATGCAAATACAGCGAGGCAGTGAGAGGCACTTTTCAGCTATGGTAACTGTGAGTCACCTTCAATGGTACTAATTTTTAAAAGGACTACGTGCAGGCTAGTGAAAATACGAAGTACATGGTGGAGACTGTGTTGAAAAAATAGTGTTCCAATAGCTATTTTGTGGCTAAGAATGTGTTCTTTCAAATAGCGTTATTATGCTCTTTTATCTATTGCAGTTTCCACAGAAGTAAGTATGAGGCATTACTTTCGGAGCAACCTATATATTTTCCTAGCCCTTGCACCCAAGTTCCCCCTGTCCCTTCATCAAATATTTCTCTCCATGCAGAGCCTTGGCTTTAAAAAAATAGTTTAAGTTTGTTTAGAAAAATGAGAATCAGAACCTGAGGGCATACAGCTTGGCACTCATACATAGACAAGTGTTGATTATGTTTTAGGACAAAACCAAGTTTTAATGAAGCACAATGTGACATTTAAATCCCCTTTGTAGAGGTAGAAACCCAGTGTTTTAACCTAATCCATCCAGATATGAAATACTGATACCAGATATTGATTTATTGCTATTAGTGATAACCGAATTTGAGAGCTTATAATGTGAACAAGGTAGCGTAAATACAGTTGTGATCTCCAATTCAGAGTAAGACATCCACATCTGTAATAAGACAATAGCAGATTCTAACAAGAATCTACTGCTTCTTGTAAACATTGTATTTGTGCAGATTCTTTTATCATACTTTGATTTCTAACGTTATGAAAGGCAAGGTTAGTAGCAGAAAACACATCCAGTTTCACATTCAGCAATATGAGAACCCTGCTCTTCAAGGACAACCAAAAACCTAGCAGCACATTTTTCAAACAATATTACAAGTTTTTCTGAATTTCCCACCCCCCCACTCAACCCACCCCCCAACAAAAAACAACAACAAATCTGACACCAAAAATAAAGTGCAGTACCCAGAAAAATAAGTGTCAAGAAAATAGCCATGTTCTTTCCTTTGTTAAGAAAAAAAAAAAGGTACTTGGCCTCAGTCTTAACAATGCTATACTGTGTCCATCATTTTGGATTCTTCTTCATCTCTTTGTATCACAGAGTTTAAACTGCAGACATTTGTATTTATGGAACCTTGTAGATCACCTGTGTTCTGCAACAGATGAAAAATCGACAGCTTAATTCTCCACAACCGCAGGGAGAAAGGAGAACTTCTAGCTTGAAGAGAGACTCTTCATATTGCCTACCTTAAGATGAGACAAACATGCAATACTAATAAAATAAGCTTACAAAAATTCATTACCCAATACTACTGCACTGTGTTAAAGTGCCTTTTTTCTTTTTTTTAAATTTAAGTTAGCACAGATTGTGTTTGGTGTATTTCTAGCACTGTAGACTGTACATTAACTAGAATTTAACTATGGAGCTTGTCTGAAAAGTACTTTAATCAAATTAAAACTAAAGCTAAGTAGTTTCAACTATATCTCCTTCTCTAATATCTGATTTTCGAAGATCTTTTCAGTTGCTTCTTCATTCCAGGATATGGCCATCACTAGTAGTCTAACAAAACATGTAAGCAACCTTAAGCTTTCTTCTGTGACAACAGGCGATCTTCAGGCTTCACTTAGCTGAAGGATCCTATGAATTGCATTGATTATTTTAACCTAAAAGCCTCTTCCCCTGCTTGTGGTAAGGTGTGAATACAATTCTATCATTGCATCAGCTTTATGAGGCAGCATTTCTTTTTCAACAAAAATAGAAAGGTGCTGAACATTTGCTTTTCACCTTCTCCTGATGCAGAATCACAGGATCACCAAGATTGGAAAAGACCTCCAAGATCATCTAGTCCAGCCATCCACCTACCACCAACACTTCTCCACTTCTTCTAATGCCCAACCTGAACCTACCCTGGTGCAACTTGAGGCCATTGCCTCTAGTCCTATAGTTACGCAGAAGAAGAGGCTGACCTCCACCTAGCCACAACCTCCTTTCATATAGTTGTAGAGAGCTATAAGGTCTCCCCTGATCCTCCTCCAGACAAGTTCTAACAGGTGAAAAGAGTATATATATGCCTTGTATATTGATAATACTGGAAGTTATATCTTGAGTGCTCTATTCTAGGAATAATTCTCTTTAATTGCAGAAAGGTACAACTTCTCAACATAGGAATTAATCCCAATTTGGTTAAGTTCATTTCTAGAAGTAATAAACTTACCTGTGACAAAGATGTCAGCTGTTCTACAAGACTAGGATTGATAGTGGGATTATATAGTAAGATAGCCTGAAAGCTATCTGATTGCGACCAGATTCTTACTCTTGTCTTGAATGCCTCAAGTTCACTTTTAAATGCCTCAAAATAGCCTTCTCCTGTCTGCAAAAAGAAAAAATGAAGTATCCTCATTTCAAACAGATTATCTTATGAATTGCAAACCTTTTGTTTACTGAAAAAGTAATGAATGTCAGCCAAAAAAAAAAAAAAAAATCATATCTAAATTTTCACTAAGACTAACTGTAGCACTTAAACACAAAAGCAAAGTCATTTATTCATCTAAAGACGTGTAAAAAGAAATCTCATTTTAGCCCTTCTTTTATTAACTTGAGAGAAATGTGGCCTGTTCTAAAATTCTGGCCAAGAGAAATGCACAAGTTGACTCAGTCTGCAGAACTTCTTAAAGGATTTGACTGAGCTCCTATTAATGTGGTATTAAGACCCATCAGACATGAATAACTGAATACAGTCAACAGCAAACCAGTTTGAGTCTTTCTACATTTCTTCTGCATTTTTAAGATAGGAATTACAGCAAAATATCTATGAAGAACTACTAATAAAACACGTCCCCATACTACTAAGTGAATAAAATACTTAGCATCTTGCAGCTAGGAAAAAAACTACTCTAAAATACTGGTTCCTTGTAAAATGTTAAGAGTTTCTACTATCATTATACAGTCACTTACTTTGGCTTTTTGGAAAAATAGACGAAAACAGCCTCTTGGATCCACATTGCAGTTTTTGGCAATTTCAATAATAAACTGCATTACTACTGCTTGGTGTGCTACTTGTTCCATCAGAGCTCTTTTCTGGGGGAAAAAAAAAAGAAAAAAAGGTTAAAAGTTACAATTTAAATACATTTCCTGTAACTATGTTTATACAGTTCACCATTAATTTATTTCATTATCTAAAGAGATAAGAACTGAGAGCCACACAAGTAAGGGGACTGTTACTTCACTGAAACTAGACCTAATACAACAACATTTTACGTAGCTTTTTCCTCCAGTTAGAGTAAGCAAGAGGGGAACACTTGAACAGCTAATGAAGTTGGACGACTTCCAAAGTGCAAGTGGGAAACTGTATACTTTCAAACAATTTAAAGATCTTCATACCTGTTCAGCTTCTAGATGAAAGCACCATAACATGAGATACTTAGATGTTTCTTCACTTACAAGATATGGGTGGTCAGACAGAAACCTTTGACTATCATCCCATCTTCTCATCATACCTAATTAGAGAAACATAGGTTGAGATACTTGAAATGGATACGTGATACAATGCAGCAAATCAAACAATCTTTTGAATTGGAAGGGACCCTAGAAGGTTATCAAGTCCAACTCCCCTGCAATGAATGGGGACATCTAAATCTAGATCAGGTTGCTCAGAGGCTGGCCAGCCTGGCCTTTAATGTCTCCAGGGATGAGTCTTCCACAGCATCTCTGGGCAACCTGTTCCACTGCTCACCACCCTATTTTAAAAAACTTCTTATGTCCAATCTAAATGTCCCCTCTTTTAGTTTGAAAGCATTTCCCCTTGTCCTATCACCACAAACCCTGCTACAGAGTCTGCCTCTTTCTTACATCTCCTTTTTAGATACTGAAAGGCTTCTAACAAATCACCTCCGAGCCTTTTCTTCTCCATACAGAACAGCTCCAGCTATCTTAACCTGTCCCCATATGGGAGGCATTCCATCCCTTGGATCATTTCTCTGGCTTTTTTCTGGGTGCACTCCAACAGGTCTATGTCTCTCCTGTACTGAAGGTTCCACATCTGGATGCAGTACTCCAGGTTAAGGTCTCACCAGAGCAGAGGAGCAGAATCACTTCCCTCAACCTGCTGGGCACACTTCTTTTGGTGCAACTCAGAATACAGTTGGCTTTCTAAGATGTGAAGGCACCTTACTGGCTCAACTCCAGCTTGGCCACTCATGCTCTACCCTTATATCCCACAACTCGTAGAGACTGTGAGCATTACCATGACACAGGTGCAGCACCTTGCATCTGGATTTGTTAAACCTCATGAGGTTCACCTGAGTCCATTGCTTGAGCCTGTCTAGGTCTCTCTGAATGACATGCCATCCCTTGAGCACACTGACTGCACCACACAGCTTGGTATCACCTGCAAACTTTCTGACAGCGCACTCAATCCCACTGTTGATGTAATTGATGAAGATATTAAAGATCACCAGTCCCAATACTGATCCCTGAAGGACACCACTTGTTACTGGTCTCCCATCATTACATTAAGGTATTGATCACTACTCTGTGGTCATACCCACATACTGTGGGTATGATCTCACAATCAGTTACTTGACCACTGAACAATCCATCCATCATATCTTTCCAGTTTGGAGAAGGATGTTATGGGGAACGTTGTCAAAGGCCTTACTGAAGTCCACACAGATGACAGCAATGGCTCCACATCTATTAATGCAGCTACACCATCATAAAAAGTAGTGAAGTTTATCAGGCATAACGTGCCCTTGGTGAAGCCATGCTGGCTGTCTCTTATCACTTCCCTCTCTGCCACATGCCTTAGCATAGCTTCCAGAAGGACCTGTTCCATCATTTTTCCCAGCAATGAGCTGAGGCTAACAGGTTGGTAGTTCTCTGGGTCATCTGTTCTACCTTTCTTAAAAATGAATACAACATACAGTTCTTTGCAGACACTGCAGTCTTCACCTAACGGCCATGACTTATCAAACATCATTGAGAGACAGGCTTGGTGACTGTCAGTAAATTATCTCAGGACTCTGTGAAACATCTTAACAAGACCCATATAGTTACGGATGTTCACGCTTCTCAGTTGGTCATGAAATTGATCTTCATGTACAGTAGGAGGGGCATCACTCCCACAGTTGCCACCTACTGAACCATCCACACAAGTGCTATGTGTAGAGCACACACTAGTGAAAACTTATTATTAAGCAAAGTTATTCAGTACGTCAGCTTTCTCTTTGCCTGTTGTTACTAGCCTGCTTTTGTTGCTCACTAGGGAGTGCACGCCCTCCTGGACTTCCCTTTTCTGGCTGATGTACCTATATAACCTTTCTTATCCTTCTTTGCGTCCCTTGACAAGTCCAGTTCCAGTTGGGCCTTGGCCTTCCTGATTCCACCCGTACAACGCCCAGCAGCATCCCTATACTCCCCCCAGGTTAGCTGTCCCTGTTTTCGCTGCCTATGCATTTTCTTCTTGCTCTCCAGTTTGACCACCAGGTCTCAGTTCAGCCACACCTGTCTCTTGCCTTCCTTTCCTGACTTGCTACACCTGGGGATTGACAGCTCTTGTGGCCTAAAGAAAGCTTGCTTAAACACCTGCCATGTCTGCTCTGCTCCCTTGTCCTTAAGGACAGATTCCTAGGGGGTTTTGTTGACTAACTCCCTGAAGAGTTAGAATTTGGCTTTTCTGAAATCAAGCTTGCAGTAAGTCTCAAGTAAGCTACTTGCATTTATACCCCTGTAGAGAATCACAGTTGCATCCCCAAAGATCATTAAGTCCAGCCCTTGGTACAAGCAGGACTACTCAAAATTCAGACCTTATGTCTGAGAGTGCTACCCAAAGGCTTCTTGAACTCTGGCAGCTTGAGACTCGGACCACTGCCTTGGGGAATCTGTTCCTGAGTATGCTTTTGGTCAAAGAACCAATTCCCATCTTGAGCCTCCCCAGATGCAACTTCATGCTGTTGTCTGGGAACTGCTGAATCACAGCCTGAATCTCTGATTGATCACCTGAGGCAAGCAATGAGTCAGCCATGGAGAACAGGTGAAGGCAATTCTCATGTGCCACTGGAAGGGGTGGAGCCTTGCACCACCTCTCCTAGACCTATTTAAGAGCTGATTACCAGTGGCAAAGGGTCTCTTCTGGAGATTGCTCCTCTTAGAGTCTTCTCAGCAAGCCCAGGACAAAAGTAAGCCTTCCATTTATTCTTCTTTAGCGTGATAACCTGTTTAGACTAACTTTCTTGTATATCTCTTAATTATAACATCTATATATTCATTTATTATACAGCTGTTCTTCATATATCGCTACCAGTCAAATAACTTGCTGCCAAGCAGTACCACATATAGAAGTTTATACTCATCTGTCAGCATATAATTATAACTCTGCTAAATATGACCTAAACTAATCTTAATTCTGATAAATTAATATCTAAGAGAAACCAATGATGGATATTTCTTTTGGCTTTCTCAGCAGCAGTGATGTTCTACATAAATTCTTTATTACATTAAAGGCAGAGCAGGATTCAGAAAAGGGACTTAGATTATATGGCTAGTGAAGTCTATGCTACCCCTTGGCAGCAGCAAGCACAGAATGAAGGAAGTAACATACTTTTTCCTAGGAACGTAATTATTTTGAATTAAAACAGCATGACTTTGAATTAAAGTAAAAAAAACCCCATGTTCTGTAGGAAGGCTGTTTCTATAATTGCTTAATCTGAATTTAGACAAAGTAACTTTGCCTAGGAAACACAATGGAGCCAGTTTGTTCTGCTGAAATTCATAGCAGAGAAGACATCTTCTGATTATGTCATCAGTACACTTAGCAGTCCAGATGTGCATATGGCCACTGCTACTATTCACATACCCATGGCAGTATCATGCCTGAACTGGAGATCCCTAGAAGCCAATCTTGTAAAACTCAGCTCATACAACCAGGTATATTTTGCCAACTCAGTCCAATTCTTGATTGTTCTGAAACTTGACATATGGCTATACTACATAATTGTCTGTAAACAGCCTGCAACAAAAAATGGGAAGTACTTAGCAGGACCACCACAGTTTCAGATTACAAAATGAGCTCTGCTTAGAGGTTCAACAACTACAATGGAACTAAAGTGAGACCTAGTGGATAGATAAATACAATTTTAACAAAACTGTGCACATACACACAGCATGTTTACAGGTGTTTACCTTTAACAATCATTCCCTCTGACACTTAATAACCACCAGAAAGCCACTTCTTAAAAGGAGACAGCTTCAGACAATCCTAAGCTCACTTCTATACAGGACTTATGTTTCCATGTATATCCCTAACTTCTCCAATGAACAGCAAAAAAAAAAAAAAAGAAAAGTTACTTAGACTTTGGTTTTAAGACCTTAGGCTTAGTTTTTAGTTAATGGTCCTACTGATCACAGGCGTTAACAAGCAGTTTACACCTTATTTCACTTTGAAATGATTATGTGTCTGATAAAATAAGGCTAGACAGTCTGCTAGTCAGGTGTTCCATTTGTTAGCACCTGTTCTGTTCCTTAATGAGTAAACCTTCAAGAAGTTCGTAGAGATTTGAACCGGAAAAGTTGGAAAAAGTGCACTTACCAAAGTGTCTAATCTTTTGTTCATGTTTTTTCATAAATGACTCAGCTGCATCTTCATCTTCTGTTTCTTTTCTTTTCTGATTAATAAAACTCTGAGGAAGACAAAGACTGTAACTACTACAAATCTCCATACCTTTTTGCAATATACAGGACTATTACATGTCATCATGTTACCCTCTAAAGGAAGATTCTAATTTAAGAGTCACATCACATGCTTGAGAAAATTTTCTTTAAAACAAGCATATTGCCTAATAACAGACTTGGAAAGTTTCATCATAGTTCACTAGCCAAAAAGAAGTTCAGAGAAAAGTCAGTACTCAGGAAGGCACACAATGATTTTTGCACAAGAATAACGTACCCTGCAACCCTGACGCAGCTAAATCAGTGAAATTATGAGATATGCTAGATGTTCTTATTTCAAATTAAGTTGTGAAAGCAAAGCAGATATTCTACTTGAAAAGAGTTTTTGCTAAATAACCTATATTGCAGTTGTCAGTATTAAAAGCAAACTGTTTTACATTTGAGAATCTTGCAGAGAAGCAGACTCTTGGTGTGAAGAAGCAATTGTTTGACCCAGTTTGGTAATATATGTACTTTATGACCACACAAGTTCTGATCTCCACTTCTGGTAAGGAAATGTCATTTAGATGCGTAGCATGAGTGCAGCTTACTCCCTTCCATGAGGCAAAATAAAAGTAAACAAGAAAACATTTAACACGCCTTGTGATTTTGCACTAAAAACTAACAAGTGTGATGAAAAATGAGGGTAATGTGTGTTTTGATGCACAATGAAATAGGCCATACCTTATTAAATACCTCCTTACTAACAAGATCTGTGTTCCATAGGTCCTGTCTTTCCCCTTGGTTTAGTGCTTCTTCTTTTCTTCGCCACTCCTCCTCTCTCCATCTCAGCTCTGCAACTTCAGTCTTTGATTGAGCATGTTCTTGATCGTAGGATTCTGCATTATGCAGTGCTAAGCTACCAAGTTTTTGCTGGGCTTCTGCAAGATTCCATGTGCATTCTACAGAGTGCTTCACGAACTCTTTCTCTTTTTGGCAGGCTAATTCGATCTCTTGGCTATAGGTCTGTGAGGAAAATCAGACGTGCTCTTTATGGAGGGAAAACCAACAAGTTCACAAATTGTATAGGAGCAGACAGGCTTAAATGCTAAAGATAAGGCTGATCTGGAAGGCATCTCAGAAGCAGCATTCTATCTGCAGGAGTGATTAAGTGTGGCTTAGTACAGGTGGGATTTTAGGATGACTTTTCTTCCTCCAGCTATATTAATTTTATAAGTGTATTAGCAAAATCTTGAATCGAGTACTGCTATCAGTAATATTTATACAATCTGAAGACTATTTCTGACACAGTTGAAAGGTTCTCCTGTGATCTCCCTCTGGCTGGAATGCTAGCAACAGACAACTAAGAGAACCCTTGGATAAATACTTTGAACACACACTTCTTAGAAGTATCAGTTTTGTGATGTAAGATAACAACAGTAAAGTAACTGCCTGCATTCCAATGTGGAGTAGTTCAACAGATGTCCAACATCCTTCTTTGAACTGACAACCGAAAACAATGCAAGTTATGAAGTGGCAGAGGCCCAATGCAAGCATACTCTTTTTGATCAAATCTATCAAAGACACTGACTCACAGCTAGGAGGGAATGACCTCTTCAGCACCAGCACTTACATTGCTTCCAGATGTGTGCTGCAAGTTTCTGCTCAGAAATCCAGGAGTGCTGGGAGTACACCCCCACTGTGCCTTCCCACCCCTCTCCACACATATTCATCCCTCAGCTCTCGGGGGCTACCTCATAAAGCCTGTGCTATGAAAATGTCTGACTCAGAGACAAGAAGGCCAACGCAAACTGAAAGCATACATGGGGGGAGTCTCTTCTGCCTCAAAGTTCTGTGCCAACTCTCTGGAGCGTTTCCCTTCTCAGAGATGAAAACCTCGCTGTTTGGAGGACTCGGTAACGGCTGCTACGTGTGATGTAGGCTGATGACACACGAACGCATAGAACTCACGGCAGTGAACTTATGGAGGCCGGCTTGCAGAAAAGCACACAGGCCACACACCTGGCGTTCAGACACTGACGAGAGCATCGCTCCGGAGCGGCTCTCCCCGCGCCGCTTACCAGACGTGAAACTGTTACCCGCGGGCAGCGCCGGCCGCCAGCCTCCACCCTCCACCGGGTCGCTCCGGCCCCAGGCGCTCCCGCCCGCCCCGCCCCACGGCGCGTCCCCCCCCCCCCCCCCCGCCTTCGCGGCCGCCTCCCCCGAGAGGCCAGAGCCGGGCGGGGCGGCGGGGCCGGCGGCGCTAAAGCGCCCCGCGACGGCCGGGGAATTGCGCCACCATGGGCTGCGGCGGTGTGCGACGCCGGCAGCTCGGTGCGTACCTGCAGGCGCTGTCGGGAGCCCGGAGACAGCTCCCGCTGCTCGTCTTCTTCCACCGCGGCGCTGCCGTCCCGGTACCGCGGGAGCCACAGCGCCATTCTGGCTGCGGGAATCGCCGATCGCCGCCCCCGGCCGTTCGATAGCTCACCGGAAGCGAGGCCGCGCACCACTTCCGGCAATAGCTAGCGGGCGGCAGCGATACCGCCGCTCAGCGCCCGCCCCCGCGGTCAGTGGGCGGAGCTTTCCGCGAGGCGCGGCGCACCACTCCGCACCGACGGGGCGATCGGCCGGCAGCGGCGCGCGGGAGTGGCAGGAGGGTCGGTGCCTGTTACCCCGCGTAGTGCTGCGCGTCTGCTCTCGTGGCTCCCTGTTGTTGGGCGGGGGGGGGGAAGAAAGGGAGAGCACCGGAACGCGGTCGCTGTGGCGATGCGGTCAGGCGGGCGTCTCGCCGAGCGCCGCCGTCAGAGGTGGTCTGCGAGCTCAGATCCGCGCGGTGTGGCTGGGTTACCGTGCCCGATCCGCAGCCCCGCGGTGCCCTCCGGTGAGAGCGCGGGGTGTCTGCAGGTCGCGTGCGAAACGGTACAGCAAAACTGTGTGGGTACGAGCGGGCGTTCCCTGAAAGCGCCGTGTGCGTATGTTCGCGGGTGGCTCCGAAAGTGATGCCTCCTTTGTTTCCACAGAAATTGGAGCCGATACAAAGAGCGCGATAGCTCTGTTTGATAGAGCACGTTCTGAGCTAATGTTTTTCACTGTTTTTCAACGTCGTCGCCACCATTACCTGCATTTTCAACAGCAATGAGTGAGAGCCTCCATGACTTGTAAAAATCTAGACTGGTAGAGATGGGTTATTGTTGCTGTCACCACTCCTGAGATGCACCACCTCTGCCTCACTGTGCTCACATCCCCATAAGAGTCAGTGGGCATCTATGAATGTCTGTCAACGGGTGCCATTTTCTTGTTCCACATGGAGGAATTCAGTGTCTGTCAATGGGTGCATTTTTTTTTCCACATGGAGGAATTCAATGACATACCTTTGCTTCATACACTCTTCCACATCATACGACACCATTCTGTCAGACTGCCCCTCTGCAGCCATCTGTTGCACAGCAACAAAATGTAAGGAATATTGGCAGGAGGGCTCACTTCTGCTGCCGTAACACCAACATCCACCTCTGACATCTTGGGCCAGCATAATAAAATAGGTTGCATTACTTTTGGAGAAGCCCTTGTAGACATACAGACATATAGACTCTACTGACATGAGTGGTGCATGTTCAGTTCTTGGAGCTTCTGGAAGATCTCAGTTTTTTAAACAGCTTGGTTCTCACCTGGAATCTGGGAGGTAACAAAAAATAAGTTTGCACCTTGACAGTAAAGATCCAAGCTGGCCTTGAACACCTCCAGGGATGGGACATCCGCAGCCTCTCTGGAAGCCTGTACCAGTGCCTCACCACCCTTTTAAAAAATATCCCCCTAACATCCACTCTAAATCTCCTCTTTTAGTTTAGCTGTTTCCCCTTGTCCTATCACTGTACGAGTGTGTAAGATTTTGGTCTCCCTCCTCATTTATAGGCTCCTTTTAAGTATTGGAAGGCAAGGCCACAGTGAAGTATTCACTGAGCCTTCTTTTTTCCAGACTGAAGAGACCATCTCCCTCAGCCTGTTTGGTCGTCTTCATGGTACTCCTCTATTCCTGATTCAATAGCTTCATGTTCTTGTCCTGAGGGCTCAGTCCCCGGACACAGTACTGCAGGTAGAGCCTCAAGAGGATAGAACAGAGAGGGGCAATTACCTTCCTCGCTCTGCTGGCTGTCCCTTTTTTTGAAAACCTCCAGAGATGATGACTCCACCACTTCCTGGGCAGCCTGTTCCAAGGGGCTTCCGCTCTCTCTGAGATGAAATTCTTCCTAATATCTAAACTAAACCTCTCTTGGTGTAACTTGAAGCCATTACCTCTTTTCCTGTCACTATCCATCTGGGAGAAGAGGCCTTAGTCCCACCCTAGCACAACCTCCTGTCAAGCAGTTGTGGAGAACAATAAGTTCTCCCCTGAGCCTTCTCTTCTCCAGACTAAACAATACCAGTTTATTCAGTTGCTCCTTGTAAGACTTGTGCTCCAAATCCCTCACCAACTTCATTGTTCTTCTCTGATGTGTTCCAGGGCCTCAGTGTCTGTCTGGTTAGAGAGGGGCCCAAAACTGAGCACGGTACTCAAAGTATGGCCTCACCAGTGCTGGGCACAGAGGTACATCTCCCTGCTCCTGCTGACTATAAGCCAGGATGCCATTGGTCTTCTTGGCCACCTTGGCACACTGCTGGTTCATATTCAGCCAACTGTCAACTAACATCTCCGTATTCTTTTCCTCTATACAAGTTTCCAGCCACTCTGTCCCAAGCCTGGGATGTTGTATGCGGTTATTGTGAATGAAGTGCAAGACATACGATTTTCCTGGTTTTCATTCCTGAGAATAATTGTTCACAAATGTATGTACTACCAGAAGTGCTGATGTGAATAAGGTGTGATTATAAAGTGAGGAATGTTTTTGATAGTTCTATGGAAGTCTAGTAAAGAGGCGTGATCAAATTTTTGAGTCGAGTATCAGATTGCAGCTCTGTACCTTCCATTTGAAATTGTGCATGTAATGTGATTATGTCAAATGGAAATGGAGTTGGAAATTTACAAAAAGTGGATTTTATTCAGCAATCTTACCCCTACTCTCAAAATGTTTTAACAAAATGGAAAGTGCTGCATATTTTTCACTGTTCGTAGGGCTGTGTTTAGCCAGTGTATCAAAATGCATAAAATTATTTGCCATAACTTGAGTTGCTATACACTGTTCCTTGTGTACTACACCCTCTGCCCTGGTTTCAGCCCAGACAATGCCAGTCACACACTAATATTTGGTTGCTGCTGAACCGTGAGTACATGCCTGGGGCTGGGCTGGCCCACTTGGCAGGGCAGAGCCACCATCATGATCTCCTTTTTATTAACCATTTCTGGGATGCCATCAATAGCTATACCAGATATGTCGACAAAGGTTAAGGAAAATCACGTTAATGTAACTTTTACTACTTCATACAAATCAAGATATTTATTATTATTATTTTTTTTTTTTTGCATGGCCATTTCTTCAGTGCCATTATATTAGTTAACAATAGTTCTAATAAAAATGGTTAGTTAAGCTATATCAGTAGCATCATTTCATTGGCTGCCATAGTGTAAAATTTGAAATTAGTGTCTTTACTCTCCAAATTTCTTCTGATGGATTTTCCTGTTTCTTTAGTTTGTCTGGCTATAGTCTGGTGAGACAAATTGATTTTACAAAAGTCCATTATTTTTATCAGGACAAATTGTATCTGCCATGCTTTCTATCCTTTGCATCAGTGCAAAACCGTCAGTGAATGGTTTTGATATTTTTTTTTGTGTGCAGTCAGATTTGCTAACACATGACTAGCTTTTATAACAGAGTCTACACTGTTACTTTAAAAAAATAAAAAAAATTGTTGAAGTGACAGACTTCTTTCAGTTCCACTATTTGTCTTTACAAAACATTCCTTAAGATGCATCAAAATTGGCAGCATGTTTTTGTACATGATATATTTTCAAATTGTAATTTTTGAAAACTGACCCATTTTTCTTACAAGTTGAGTGTAGTACTATAATATTTATCTTGACAAAAAAGTATTAATATGCCTATTTTTTCACTGAACAGTCTTCCTTCATCCACCATTTTATTGTTTTTTTATTCTGTTTTGAGTGACATTAGGGAGGCATGTTGGGCTGGGGCCGCATGTGGCTGTGGCCTATGGACAGTGAGTTGGACATACCTGGTCTAATGTCTCAAGCCTTCTATTGGCTGTAATTCAGCTTTTTTTTTTGTTTTTTGTTTACAACTGATAGGTAATTCTTGTTTTGTGAGTGTTTCACCAAGGTACAATGAAGTATTAGGCTTGTTCCTGGAACAGAATTGATTTAAACATTTATAGAAGATTTTGTGATCTGAGGCTGTGATGGTAATGGTTATGACACATCATCTCTCATGTGCACAGTTCTTACATATCTCAGAAACAGCAACAGCTTATATGAGGACAATCAGTTCCAGGTAGTGATCAGCTCTGAGGAGATGCCAGTGAATTTTGCAGAGAGTAGAGCATTATGGTGTGAGAGGGATCTTGAAATTGTGGAGACCCCAGGGTGAGGAGAGAGGCTCCTGGAGCTGCCAGAACAGTGGGGTTCAGCCCTCTTAAGAGAGAGTGGCTGACAAGGTGTGAGCAGGGCCAGGACCAGCAGTCGCCACCCCCACACATACAAAGGCAGTCCCTAGAGAGCATGAGCAACTAGGACAGGCAAACACGGAATGGCATGACAGTGAGACCATGAGGCAGCAGTTTTTGCAGCACTTGGTGCGTGCTAACAGGGCTCTGTACCTTGCTTGCAGGTTCATATCCAGAGAAGCATTCCTGATCTCTCTTGTTACTGAGGTGGGTACTCTCCTGAGGACTAAAACCAGTGCCCCTACAGGAAAATCTTCAGAGGGGTTTTGCACTTGGGTTGAGGTAATCCCAGATATGTATACAAACTGGGAGAAGAAATCCTTGAGAGTAGTCCTGCTCAGAAGGATTTTGGGGTGCTGGTTGATGAGCCAACAGTGTGCACTTGTAGCCCAGGCAGCCAATGGTATTCTGGGTTCTGGCAGAAGACGGGTGGCCAGCAGGATGAGGAAGATGATTGTCCACCTCTGTTCTGCCCTCATGAGGCCCAGCTGGAGTATTTTGTCCAGATCTGGGACCCTCAGCTCTGGAAAGATGTGGAGCTTTTGGGGAGAGTCCAGAGGAGGGCCACGAAGATGATCCAAGGGCTAGAGCACCTCTCCTGTTAAGACAGGTTGAAGAAACTGAACTTGTTCAAGCTGGAAGAGAGAAGGCAGTGGGAAGACTAGTGGCCTTCCAGTATTTAAAGGGAGCTTATAAACATGAGGGAAATAAACTTTTTTACTTGGGTAAATAGTGATAGGAGAAGAGGAAATGGTTTTAAATTAAAGGAGGAGATTTAGTTTAGATGTCAGAGGGAAGATTTTTACTGAGAGAATGGTGAGGTGCTGGCACAGGCTGCCCAGTGAAGTTTTTGCACAGATTAGATGGGTCTTTGGATGGTCT